CCAAAGAGACTCCATAGTTTTTATCCCACACTGAGACCAAATTGAAAGGAATGAACTCAAAATTTTATTTGACATTTCGTACTCGTAATTAAATCGATCAGCTTGATTATGACAAGTGCTTTTGAAACCATCGTCAAATAGTGAATACTAGAGATTCTCAAAATAACACAATTCAAGGCACAAAGTACTAGTTGAGCATAAACGAACGTATTGTATTTAGAATTCGAAATCAGACAGTCACCAAGTACGAAGGAATGATTAGTTCATACAAACACCAAGTATCATACTGATAGGTCCTGGTTTCGGATCTTGCGAGGCAGGATTGTGGATGCGAAATGCTGCGACGAAATCTCAGCACGGATACAGAAGGCTCGACTAACTTTTGCCAACTTGCGTCATTCACGACGCAGGCGTGATATCTAACTATCAACCAAAGGACGTTCGTACCGTCCTACTTTATGGCAGTGAAACATGGCCGGTAAGAGTAGAGAATATTCGTAGGTTACTAGTATTCGATCATAGGTGTCTTCAAAACATTGCTCGTATATCCTGGGAACACCGAGTGGGTAATGCAGTTGATAGGAAACGGGTACTAGGTAAGAATAGCAAATCAATTGATGAAATAGTGAAACTTCAACAGTTGAGATGGCTGGGACATGTGTTACGTATAACCAACCACCGACTGCCCCGACGAGCGATGTTTTATGGTGTAGGAGTAGGTTGGAAGAAAGCTAAGGGCGACCAGACCAGAACATGGCACAAACCCATGAAGTCACTGACAAGTGGACTGATTCATGTTGGTAGGTGTCGACTAACTGGTTCCGGGGATCCGCGAGATGATAGCAACTGATGGTTAGAGACCTTAAATGACATGGCCCAAAACAGTTTGCAATGGCGCAGGTGTATCCACTCTTTGAGTTCTCCCAAATTCTAATCTTCTGAATTCTTCGTGTCACTTCTTTTCCCTTTCCAAATTTGTTTCACTTTATTATACTCCTTAAATAACATCTTCGAACCCTAATATTTCCAATTACTGCTTATGCTCTTACTATCTCTACCACTATGGGAATTGTATCAACAATTGTATCTGTGTGGTAATGTGGTATGGCAACTTGAACTGATGTACGTACGTACGAAGTTCTACATTGTTACTGACTGCGCACTGCTAAGGAGTCACACAATAGGATAAGTTAGCCGTTCAGTGCTTCCAGCTTTCCATAGCGGTCTAGCTTCAACCAACACATGATCTCAATAATTCAAATAATCATACTGAATTAATTAATTTCAATATTATTTAATATAAACAAATTTTATTAATCCAAGGTCAATTTAATTAACAAAAAAACAATTATTGAAATTGTTAAAAGTGTAAATCATTAGTTTCTATGACGTTTTACATTATCCTCCCCCCCTCAGACTTAGACAAAAACTATCTGTTTTTATATCTCATATTACCCATTTGTAACTGTGTATATTTGCGTGATCTTTTGTTGTTGTTGTTGTTAAAAAATGAAAATACAAATTTCGATTTTTTTTGGTTTTATTTTTTCTAGAAAAATAAGTGCGGACAATTAGAATGTGACGGTATGTCTGCGTTGTGTATGTGTGTGTGAGTGACTGTGTGTGTGTATGCTTGTTTCTAAATTATGAAAGAAAAAAATATTATGTTTTAGGAAAGTTATTTCTGTTTTGTTTACACCAGTTTCTCCCTCCCCCTCTCTCTCCCTCTCCCTCTTTTTTCTTTCATTCATTCATTCTTGTTGTTGTTGTTGTTGTTAACTCCATAAAATGCGGTCCCTATTTTATTTTGCTCTAATAATTGGACATGAAGTATTCAGTATTTATTAGTAGTATATAACATTACTTATTATTATTATTATTATTATTATTATTATTATTATTCTAAAAGCAACTGTTCTTAATTTCGGATACATATTTATTCATTCTGTCACAGTTTTCACTTTTGATTAAATGACTTTTTTTGTTTGTTTTAAAAAAATGATGTAAATAATAGTTGATTGATTTCTAAATAGTTTTCATCATAGAATGATTATTACAGTAATAATACATTATTGAACAAATAGTTATTTACATTACTTATTTCCGCCTGTTACTCCCAATGGAACATAGGCCACCGACCAGCATTCTACAACCCACTCTGTCCTGGCCTTCTTTCTAGTTCCATCCAATTCTTGTTCATTTTTCTCATGTCTATTTCCATTTCTCGGCGTAATGTGTTCTTTGGTCTTCTTTTCTCTTCCGTTGGCCTTGAGGATTCTATGTGAGGGCTTGTCTTGTGACGCAGTTGGGTGCTTTCCTCAATGTGTGTACTATCCACTTTCAGCGCTTCTTCCTCATTTCTTCCTCCGCTGGGATCTAGTTTGTTCTCTCCCACAGTAGGTTGTTGCTAATAGTGTCTGGTTAACGGATTCGAAGTATTTTGCGTAGACAACTGTTAATAAACACCTGTATCTTGTGGATGATGGTTTTCGTAGTTCTCTAAGTTTCCGCCCCATACAGTAGAACTGTCTTGAAATTTGTGTTGAAAAATCTTAATTTGGTGTTGGTTGACAATTGTTTTGAGTTCCAGATTTCGTCAGTTGTAAATACGCTTCTCTTGCTTTGTCGATCCGTGCATTCATATCTCCATCAGATCTTCCGTGTTCATCAACGATGGTGTCCAGACATGTAAAGGTTTTTACATCCTTCAAATAAATAAATGGTGGTGAGACTATAATTTATGGATGACATCTGAGCGACGCTAGAGTGACCTTGAGAGTGTTCACCTAGTAACTAGGACCAAATGATGGTTATAAAGCAGTGTAAGGAATTCAAATTACGATTTGCAGTTAATGGTTAAGGTTAGAAAGTAGATTTAATGTTTTTCATCACGAACTGACATCAGCTATAATGCCAAAACTCTATTTAGCCAAAGAGATCTGTGAATTTTGTGCCAAAATCCGAAACGTGTGATCTTATACCTGATTGGTTTGTTTGAAGAACATATGAAACTCAAAACAACTATCTACCAATATCAAAGTGAGCATCTTCAATAAGAACAATTCAGTTTGTTCTACTGTACGGAGCTAAAACTTGGAGAACAACTACAGCCATCATGAAAACGGTACAAGTATTTATAAATAGTTGTCTACTCAAGATAATCAACATCTATTGGCCGGATACCACCGGCAACGGCCTACTGTGAGCGAGAACAAACCAGCTTCCAACTGAAGAGGAAATTAAGAAAAGACTATGGAAATGGATAGTACATACATTACAGAAATCATCAAAATGCATCTCGAGACAAGTGTTAACTTGGAATCTTGAGAGGAAGCAGAAAACAGAAGACCAAATAGCATATACATCGGAAAACAGGAGCAAATATGAAAAGAACGAATAACAACTGGAAAGATCTGGAAAGGAATTGTCAGAACAAGGTTGGATGGAGAGTGTTGATGGTCAGCCTACGGTCCTCGACACCGAGTAACAGGCGTAAGTAAGTAAGATTGGTTCGTCCAAAATGTCTCGCCTATACAGTTATCTTAATGGTCATTTGTAATACTGAGTAACGTAATTTATTTTTTGTTATAAGGTGATTATCGAATAGCCACTTCAATAAAAATTATACAGAATATACTGTTAGCTTTAAATAATAATAATAATAAAACAATGTTTGGGATGTGTTTCTATTATCGTAAATGCCAAATGTTGCTTCAGGATATGTATTACTCTAGAGGTGTGAAACGGTGAGGGCATTTTTCAGTTACTATCACGTGATCATATATGCCTTCAAAGCTCTAATGAGGCATATTATGACCACTGAGAGAGTAATGGTGATTTTAGGCGTAGGAAAAGATGGCGAATTGGCTGGTAAGGTTGTGAGTCATCGTCGAATGAAATCAATAGGATGTATGTTACGTGTGCTCAACCACTGCTACCTGGATGCAGAATTTTGTCTGGAACAGGAGTGAGGTGAAAGTGGTCTAAGAATACTCTAATTAAAAAAAGTGGGATTAGTCTTGTAAATCATTGACTGATGAACTGTGTCACTGTTGGCAGATCCCTATTACCAGATTGGTGTCTGCTCGATAACCTCCACTAGTGATTAGAGATTTTTAGAAATATGGCTCATAATCGACCATATTAACCCAAATAGTCTCATTCTTTATCTTCTTCTAGATATGAATTTAGATATTATTTCATATCACTTTTTCCCTAAATTTATCCCTTCTATTTGGATCGAATTTCTTAATTTTTAATCTTTACCACCACCGTTTTCGATTCTTTGCATTCATCTTGTTATCCATCTGTAGTATGATAACTTGGCCTACCGTATACTTTTGACAGGATTTATGTTGATCCTCGCTGACTGATGACTATGACTATCATTCATTGTATATAAATTCAAAATATGTGATTCTTTTTTTACTTGTCATATTATCACTTTTTACTATGAATGACTGCTGTTTATCATCTCTTCTGAATAGTTCGATGAATTAGATTGATATTATTACAATTACTGATTGATTAGACTGACTTTCGAGATACCGTAGTATTATTTTAACTCTCTCCTTTTAAATCTCTAACCACATATTGACTTCATTAAGTAACAGACAAAGAAGTGAATCAATGATTATAACACGTTTAGAACTATGGTGTGTCAAATGTCTAAGTTCGTGAGTGTCTCAAATATGTACAATCATGCATTTGAATATGGGCAGTAGAAAATGGATCGGTATTAGACCACCATTAAAAACGTGGAAACATTGGACGGCCGTTTCGTCCCAGTATGACACTCTTCAGCAGTGTGCATGCGGGACCCGAACATGGGACCTTGTGTCTCACGTTCGGACACCTAAACTTTAGATCACTGATTCGCTATCCAACAATATTAATGTCTAACTTCTTTCATCATATTTTGAATGAAACATGTTTATTCTCTGATTATTATAAATAAAACTAAACTTATTATTTTTGATATAAAATAAAACAATCTCTAGGTTTACCGAATTCTGGCAAAAATACATTTTGTAAGCAAATGCGTCTACATTTCGGTGATGGTTTCCCTGTATCATATCGTAATGAAATGAAACCAACAATACTAGCCAATACAACTGATGCTATTGCTATGGTGTTAGAATATATGAAAGATGCTAATATTGGTTTTTCAGATATTTTAGCTCATGTAAGTGAATCAATATTTGTTTATATATATATTCCTTATTGTTTTTCGTGGGGAAAGAAGGGAAGGCAGTCATTACTATATTGACTAGTCAATCAAGTGTAGGATAAAAAGTTTCTATTTGCTTTTTTCAAGTGGAATTCAAAGATTATTATCATCTAGTATCCATGTTAAACAACTGGAAAAGATTCCCCAGGACAGAGTTGGATTAAGAATGCTAGTAGGTGGCCTATGCTCCTCTATGAGGAGTAAGCAAGTAAGTATTCATGTTATGTAGAGGTTTGTAGCAGATATTCTTACTTAATTGTTCTATAGGTAAGAATGTACAATTAGGAGTATCTTGAGTTGATGGTTGTTTCGATTATGGTTATGGTAGTTCTCAAAATTTCAGCTCCATACAGTAGAACTATCTTCACGTTTGCGTAGAAGATTATCACTTTCATATTGGTCGATAGCCGTTTCGAGTTCCATATATTCTTGAACTATAGGAATACTGCCCTTACTTTGATAATCCTTGCCTTTACATCTGCATTGGATCCCCTTCATTCATCGACGATGCTGCCTAGATATGTGAAAGATTTCATATCTTCCAAAGGTTCTCCATCATGTGTGACTAAGTTGGTGTTCTCCGTGTTGTATTTGAGAATGTTGCTTCTCCCTTTATGCATGGGGGGGGAAGTAAAGATAAAATTCAGATTAATATAGCAAATCGTTGACGCTTAGTTTCTACGAGATAGAACAATAAATGATCGAAAACAGTCGATAAAGTGTTAAGTGAACCTACCACCCTGGTATTTGTTCTTACTGTGTAAGGCCAGTGAAATGTCAGAGTCCTAGACAAATCATTCGGCTGTTGGGTCACTGAATATCGAACAGATCATGGGTCCCTGTCGAGGTCAAGGACTGCCAACGCGCATTAGTTAATCGTATCCTATAGACTGGCCAATACGGTGGCGGTCTCGCTATTTTCGCTGTACTCATTCTTACCAATACATTTTCATAATAATGTCTTTTGTGTTATACGATCTTCAAAATAGCCATTGATACGTCAAAGGGGTAATCCACGTCAGATGCTGACCGCAAGGTTTGACTTCGAAATTAGATGGTTCGTTATCCCATTCCCGTCTAATTCTAGTAGACTCCCAATTGTGCGACATAGATTATCTACGTTGTTAGTCTATTAGTGTAAAATTTATATCTTTTTAAAAATTATATTTGAAGAAAATTTTGCACTGCTTATTGAATCCAGTACGGTAACTTTTAAAGACCAGGAAGCGTTATACAAATGATTTTAGTGAGTTATTAATATTGATAATAACTATGTTCTCACTAGTGACTAGCTTCGTGAGGGAATTCTCGAAGTTCTAGTGAGAAACCGTAACAAATGGAACTAATCCGTGTCGGGTAGAGACAGATATCTACCTCAGTACAATAGAAGGTGTTCGCACAATTTATTGGATTATTTGAAGTTAGATATCAACACCGTTGGATGTCGGCCGGCTCAGTGGTCTAGAGGTTAAGTGTTCGCTCGCGAGACTAAAGGCCCCGGGTTTGAATCATAATGAGCGGCATCATGGATGTGCACTACTGAGAAGTCCGACAATAAAACGAAAAGGTCATCCAGTGATTCCAATTTTTCAATGATAGTCTAACATCAATCAGTTCATGATCTCAATCAATAACTTAATAATCTTCACAACCCTATACTGATATCCATCTTATTTCTGACTTACTTCTCTAATAGTCACAGTTGATGTTAACTTCGAATGTAAGTATAATCTTCTATTCTTCAATTTCTTTTAATACTGAATTTAGAAACTTCAAGAATATTTAGTGAATAGTCGATCAGAAAATGGATGGATCACAAAAGATTTTATCATATTCGATGAAAAATATACAACTAATTCTAATCATATTGATTATCATATACTTAAACGTCAAGAATCATCATTTAAATCTAAAGTCAATCATGATGCGGAACATTTCACTTATCCTTGTTATGATGATCCTCATGCAAAATATTTTAATCATCATCATAATTGTATAACAATTAGTTCTAGTTTACCAAGTTTTACAATATCAACATCATTATCTCCTTCATTTAATGAATCTATTCAATCAACTAGTCAACAATATTTAAGTAATACAAATAATCCTTTAAATAAAATTCATGATTTCACTATGGACACATATAACTCTTGTATACAGTCTTCATTCAATACTACTACGACTACTACTACGACGACGGCGACGACTACTACTTCTACTATGCCCACTAATACTACTACTACACGACTACTACTATATGCCCACTAATACTACTAATACTACTATGAGTAGTAGTAGTAGTACTACTACTGATAATAATAATAATATTGCCAATACTGATAGTATAACCGATTCTATTGTTGAAAAATTTCTATATTATGTTCATGAAAATAATTCAATTCCACCATCGGTATTAAAAAAATTTGAATCGATTATTGGTATTAAATCAATCGATAATTGGCAAAATATTATTGAAAATAAAACGCTGTTACATTATTTAATTCATGTCTTATTACAAAGTGGTATTGATAATTGGTCATCATTTTTAATGTATCAATCAACACCGCCACCAGCTCCAACAACACTACCTCCAATATCAGTTGAAGATGAATTCTTAGATTATATTGTAACTAGTGATAGTTGTGATACTTCAGAAGAAGGTGATGATGATGATGATGACGGTGATGATAATGCGAGAGATGATATTGAAAGTGGATTGGTCAATTCGTCAAATTGTTCTTTAGCAAGAACTTTAGTTAAAAGTACTTCTGATATCGTAGATATTGATGAATTTATCAACTATAATGAAGATGATGATGATGATGATGATGAAGAAGAAGACGAAGAAGAAAAGAGAGAAAATTTGAACGAAGATTGGGATCACTTAGCTGATCTTAAAACAGAAGATGGTCTCGTTTATAAATCCATTAGAAAATTATCAATCAATACAAAACGTAGAAATAAAAGTGAGTACTATTAGTTACTCAATAATTTTACTGTAATTTTTCATAAACCCTAGTCGTCTCTAATAGAATATGTCATTTGGTTGAGTTATTCTTAGATGAAATGAAACTATCAGAAGGGGTTTTGTGGATATTATAATAATTTCAAAGTTGAGACCATGAGTCAACTGAAGTTAGATCACCATGGAAAACCTGGAAGCACTGGAAGGGTATTTCATCCTATTGTGGGACTCCTCATTAGTGCGCATCGACGATCTCGCCACGCGAGATTCGAATTAAGGATCTATCAGTCTCACGCGCTAACGCTTAACCATTAGATCACTGAACCGGCCGGTATTCAGCGGTGTTAATGTTTAATCATATAAAACATTAAGGAGGAAGAATATGTTTGCAAAATCTCTACGATTGAATCTAACATTTCGCTCGACAATCTGGTACAAACCTTTTCAAGGACAAACATCAAAATTATCGATTAACTATGTACCAAATAGGTTATTCAATCATGTTAACAATAATTGAAATAAGTATTTACTGTAGTGTATAAGAGATACATGTAACATGTGTAACGAAAAGTGTGTTAAAGATAACACATTGTGTGTGTGTGTTGTGTGCAAGTGGATCAGAAGAAGTGAGAAGAAATTTCATTTTGATTGATATCATGATTCAATCACTGTTAGACCATTATTGAAAAACTGGAAGTAGTGGATGGCCATTCCGTTCTAATATGGGACTCCCCATATTGATAATTACCATATGCTCACCAGTGAATAGCTTTGTGAGGAAATTCTCGGAGTTCTATTTAGAAGCCGTAACCAATGGAGCTAATCCGTATCGGGTAGAAACAGGTATCTACCTCAGTACAATGGAAAATGAACGCACAATTTTCTGAATTGAACTGAGCCGGTGTTAATATCTAACTTCAACCAATCCACGAAATTACTCCACCGTTCAACGATTAAATTACTAAATCTCCACAAAACGCTCTTCTGATAATAATCATCATCATGTGCTCACTAGTGGCTGACTTCAAGAGATATTTCCTGGAGTTCTAGTGAGAAGCAGTAACCAATGGAGCTCATTCGTGTCGGGTAGAGACAGGTATTTACCTCAGTACAATGGTAGGTGTTCACGCAATTTCGTGAATCGTTTGAAGTTAGACATTAACACTATTGGATGTCAGTCGGCTCAAAGGCCTACGCGTTTAACGATCGTGCACGAGACTGAAAGCCCTGACTGCAGGATCATAGATGTGCACTTCTGAAGAGTCTCATACTAAGACGAACACAATCATTCATTTTCCTTTTTTGTTTTCTTCTTTTTTTTTAGATCTAGATCATAATAGTAGATTAGATAGTAGTAATCTACCTTATCTAAATAGAAATTACATAGAATTAAATAGTAATTTTAATTTATTAGAATTTTCAATTGATCAATTAACGAATATGAATTATTCAGAGCATAAAATTTCATTGAATTCATTACAAATTATAATGAAAATTATTACGGATCAATGTGAATTTCGTAATGCATTTTACAATATTATCCAATTCTATCACAAAAAACTTATGCTGGTTCATAGTAAGTTATGGAATTGCAAATTTTCTTTCGGTTTCTCTTTTGTTTTCTTTGTGTGTGTGTGTGTGTTCATTTTTCGTCGATACTAATCAACGTATGCTCACTAGTGACTGACTTCAAGAGGTATATCATGGAGTTCTAGTGAGAAGCAGTGACTAGTGAAGTTCAACCGAGTCTGTTGTTAAATAGTAACTCATTAAGGACAATGCTGGATGTGTCGCTCAATTTTGTGGATTCGTTGAAGTAAGACATTAGCACCGTTGGGTGCCGGCTCGGTGGTCTAGTTGATCAAGCACCTGGCGCGCGACTGGTAGGTCCTGGGTTCGAATCTCGTGGGGCGGGGTCGTGGATACGCACTGCTGAGGAGTCCCACAGTAGGACGAAACGGCCACCCAGTGCTTCCAAGTTTTCCATAGTAGTCTAGCTTCAACTGACTTATGATCTTAACCAGTGAAATGTATTTATGTATTCATCTTGTGACTTTCAGATTAGATATTTTCATTACAAATATGTCATGTGTTAGAATAAATCATAATGGCTATGATGTAAATGTTATATTATTGTTATAATTCAATGACAGAACATAATATTTATTACTTTCAAGACAATATGTAATAATGAAACATTCAATAAAGAATACGTCATTGATGAAAGTAATCTATACAATTGGGCATATTCATTCATTCATTCATTCATCATTCATTCATTCATTCATTCATTCATCATCATCATCATATTATTATTATTGTTTAAATACAATTTTCTCATGAATGGCGGGGAATGCAAACTATTTCAGTTTTAATTAACTTCTTTCGTTCCAGTTTTGAATATTGTTCTATTGTTGTTGTTGCTGTTGTTGTTGTCAAGACATAGTAGTGACAGCTAGTATTGAATTGTCAAGGTTATATATATATCAATACTTTTTCTGCTTGAAACAATTGTCCATGGGTTGGTTATTGATTATTTAACATCGTGATCATTTAAAAAGGAAAGATAGTTTGTGCATTAGTTACAAACTATAAAGATATTTTGATATGTGCCTGTTGTTATTGCTAGTGATTTTAACTGCTTACGACATATATTTCCTTATTTCGAATATAGACTTCTTTTTTTAGTGTACAGAGTTGAGACGTATCAGAATAGTTGGCTTATTAGTTTTGGGTTACAGAGTGTTTGGTTCGTTTTCACACTAGATAAAGTTTTCATTGCTTCATACAGCTAGTATTGAGTTTTTAACGTTACATCTATATATCAATACTTGTTCTACTTGAAACAATTGTCCATGGGTTATCTATTGATCATTTAGCATAGTGCTAATCTATGATGAAAGATAGTTTGTGTTAGTTACCACAAAATATGGGTTATTTTTATTGATTTTTTTCTTGTTCAACACAAAAATGAGTGAAGATTTATAAATAAATAATTGAACTTTATAATGGATAAATGAGGTAACGCAATGAATATGCTGTATAAACAATGTAATACATTAATTTAGAAAGGGGTCTTATGGAGGTTGTAGTAATTTAATAGTTGAATTCATGAGTTAATGATAGCTAGATCACTATGGAAAATTTGGAAACACTCTATGACCGTTTCATCTTACTATGGGACCCTTCAAAAATGCACATCCATGATCCTACTTACAGGATTCCAATCTACGACTTTGAATCTCTCGCTCAAACACTCAACGTCTTGACCGCTGAGCTGACATACAATGGTGTTAATGGTTAACTCCAACCAATTCATGAAATGGTGCAAACGTTCAACTATTAAATTACTACAATCTCCATACAACCCCTTTCTGATAATAATCATCATGTGCTCACTAGTAACTGGCTTCAAAAGGTATTTCCTGGGGTTCTAGTAAAAAGCCATAACTAATGGAATTTAATCGGGTCTGTTGTGAGATAGTAACTCACTGATGATAATGGTGGATATGTCACTCAATTTCGTGGATTGGTTGAAGTTAGACATTAACAACGTTGGATGCCGGCTCAGTGATGTAGAGGTTAAGCGTTTGCGAGAGTAAATTACATGTTTCCTCCTACCCAATTCCTGTGTAAGTCACTCAACCATTAGAAACTTTTTTTTAACACCTAATTTATTACTTATATTCATTCACCTTTCATATTCATCATTATAATCTATAGCTTTATTAAATGTGTGGATAGAATTATTCAAGATGATTATATACCTACATTACAAGATTTATTGATTATGAAACAATCATCAAAAGCTGTCAGAGAATCCCTTATCACTATTGGATCAATAACATTAAGGTAAATAAAATGATTATAAATTTACCTACTATTTATTGATTAATGTTTATTATTTTATTGATTTGTCATGTGTATGTCAAGTTTAAAGACTATATTACTTGATTACTTACGCCTTTTACTCTCAATAAAGCATAGGCTGTCGACCAGCATTCTTCAACTCACTCTGTCCTAGGACTTTCTTTCCAGTTCTATCCTATTCTTGTTTGTTCTTCTCATGTTTATCTCTATTTATCGGCCTAATGTGTTCTTTGAACTTCCTCTTCTCCTTTGACCTTGGGCATTGCATGTGATGGCTCACCTTGTGATGCACTTTGTTGCTTTCCTCAGTGTGTGTCCTATCCAGTTCCAGAGCTTCATCTTCTTGATTTATTCCTTCAATGGAATCTGGTTTGTTCTCTTCCACAGTAGATTGTTGCTCATAGTGTATGGCTAACGGATTCGAAGTATTTTACGTAGACAATTTTAATAAACACTTGTATCTTCTGGATGATGGATCTCGTAGTTCTCCAAGTTTCCACCCTGTACAGTAGAACTGTCTTAACATTTGTATTGAAAATCCTGACCCTGGTGTTGGTTAACAGTTGTTTTGATTTCCAGACGTTGTTCAATTGTAAATATGCTGCTCTCGCTTTGTCGATCCGCATTTTCACATCTGCATCAGATCTTCCGTGTTTATCAATGATGTTGCCCAGATTACATTACTATTCTTTTTCATGATGAAATGTCGTTAGCTTGAAAAAAAACTTTATGAGAATTAATCCTAACACATATGCTATATAAGATATTGTATTTTATTTTCAAAACAAATGACTACTCAAATAAGTAGTATAAAGTCACATGTTCAATTAGTAAGTGGAATCCGATGAAATAGATATTTCATAACAGTTGAACGATATCTTCACTTATTATTGGTAATAAAGAAAAAGTGAAATATTTAATGGGTACTATGTATTGAAGATCTGTCAATCTTGCACATGGATATGATCTGGCATAAATGTTTATCAGTGCTAATTGCTATAGACATTGTAAAAATACAACAAGGAATATTTGAAAGTGATATTCATGAAATTTTAAGCAAAGATGTGGTAGAAACTAGCAGTGGAGTCCAAGACACGCACTTCGTCCTATTTAACACTCGTCAGCTGGATGCACCTCCATCCCATAGTTGATGTTCACACTGGGACTCGAATTCAGTACCGTCAGCTTCAAACTCCATCATGTTATTCACTTAGCTACTGAGTTCTGATAACCAGTTTGAAACCAAATAAATGAACCAATAATAATGAAGTTCAAATTTAAAAGGAATATAAACAATGTATGTATATTCTTGTTAGTAAGGTAGATTTCAAACATTTTGTAATGAAATGTTATGAATACCTAGCAAATGCCAATGATGAATTCCCATATAAATCAATCTGATAATCATAAATGCATGAAAGATTTTTCTGTCTTCATCATCAATCATGGTATTGAAAACTATTAATATAAATACAATTTGATTGTGTCCAAGAATATACTACTAAGCAATAGGAATAGCCGGATTGTAATAAGACAGAATTATAACAGTAAGCTTTAAGATAGAATTCAGTATTTCAACCAGCCAGGATTAAAATCATCCTGTGACAACTACAGAGAGATTAGTTTAACTAATTTAGTATCTAAAATACTAGCCTCGATAATTATCAGACGCCTAACTAAGACTCGTGAACTGCAAACACGAGAGAATCAATCTAGCCTCAGACCTGGTCGTGGATGCATCGACCACATATTCACCATTCGTCAGGTTCTAGAACACAGGCATACCTATCGGCGTCCAACAATAGTGGTCTTTCTTGACTTAAAAGTAGCATTTGCCTCTGTAGACCGCGAGATTCTGTGGCAGTGTCTATTATTGAAAGGCGTACCTCACAAGTACATAAACCTTGTGAAGGCTCTTTACTCGAACACTACTAGTCGAGTCAGAGCTTATGGAGAACTGTCATCTGCTTTTGCAACCTCAAGTGGTGTCCGTCGAGGCTGGCCACTTTCTCCATTTCAGTTTAACTTCATCATAGATCTACTGATAGAAATAACATTCTCATCGACTGAATTGTCGGGTATTGATCTCCTTCCAGGAGGTCCACTTATCAACTTAGAATACGCAGATGACATAGTCCTGTTTGGTGAAGACGCTGACAAAATGCAGTCTTTTGGTAGCACTAAGCAACAATGCCAGAATGTTTGGAATGCGCTCCTCTCCCTCTAAATGCAAGTTGTTGTTTCAGGACTGGCCTGCGCCAACACCTAAACTAAGGATGGGGAGTGAAGTAGTCGAACGCGTCGACAACTTCACTTATCTTGGAAGTCTGATCAGCCCTAATGGGTCGGTGTCTGACGAAATCTCAACACGGATTCGAAAAGCTCGTTTGGCTTTTTCCAACTTACGTCACCTATGACAAAGGTGAGATATCCGTCTGTCAATAAAAGGACGAGTATACTGCGCGGCAGTTCGTTCTGTTCAACTTTACGGCTGCGAAATGTGACCACTAAGAGTAGAAGACACCCGTAAGCTACTAGTATTTGACCACAGATGCCTTAGAAATATTGCTGGCGTCTGCTGGGATCACCAGATAAGTAATAGTAAGGTTAGACGCAGGGTATTAGGGAAGGATGGTAAATCAGTTGATGAGGTTGTGAATCGTCATCGACTGAGATGGTTGGGTCACGTGTTACGTATGCCCGAACACCGATTACCACGACGTGCAATGCTAACCGATGTTTGGGATGGTTGGAAGAAAGTTAGGGGCGGCCAAACCAAGAAGTGGCATCAGTGCTTGAAGACACTAACTTGTAGTCTGAGCCATATTGGTAGATGCAGATTACTTGTTTGGGGTCCGCGTGACTATCGTAACCAATGGTTGGAGAATTTTGGTGACATGGCTCAGAATCGATCACAATGGCGTCGGTGTATACACTCTCTGTCTTCCCTTAAACTAAGAGATTAAAATTGCTTCATATCTTTGTTTCTACGAACTAATTCTTTCTTCCTGTACTATGTCCTTATATTCAATCTTTCTTTTATATGTTACCACCATTGAATTAACTACTTTTATGAATCCAGTGTTCATCTTATGTTAATGAGGTTTGACAACTTGGACCGATGCATATATGTGCCTGATCCTACGTTGTAGCTGACGTGACCAGTATTACATCATGCTTATGAAATTTGTCTATTGAAGAGTGAAGATATAAATAATTTTAAAATAGATTCATCAAGCTGTGAAACTTTATCAACTAAATTGTCTGAATCACATATATTAAGCTTTTATAATCAATGAATAAATTGAGATGAGATGTGTAGCTGGGATTGGGATGATTAAAAACGGGACGAGACTATAATTTATAGACGAACCAATCAGATATAAGATAAAAGGTCTAGGATTTCGGCGCGAAATCCATTCACTCACTTAGCTAAATATAGTTTTGACATTATAGTTGATGTTAGTTCATGATGTAAACCCTAAATGTACTTCCTTACCTTAACCATCAGCTATAAATCATAATACTGGCTTATAGCGCTCATCTGGTCCTGGTTATTAGATGGACACTCTTAAGGTCATTTCAGGATCGAACAAAGGTCATCTCTAAATTATTGTTTCACCAAAAAAGGTTTTGAAAATCAGTTAATAATGTTTTTAACTATTAAGATGAGCTGTATTAAAGATCTTCATTTTTCTTTGTTATACATAGTTAAGGTGTTTAAATGATAGGGGTCAAAATGAATTAACAACTTGTAAAATCATTACTGAATATAAAATTCAGATGAAGGCGATGAAATCATTGAATAACTACAAGATTAACATCAAGTGAATGATATCTTCCAACATCAATAAGTTATGAATATAATGTAGCTGATATGTAACATTATTGATCGGTTTTAGATATTTCATTTTGATAACTAACTTCATTGTTTGATCGTTGCTGTTACCTTGACCTGGTGGTCGGAGTTGCCTGTCTTGATAAAGCAATCGAGCTATACTGGCTGGAATAATCATACCTCAAGATCCTATCATGCCTGACAGGTCGGTTGAGGAGCGGTAAGACTAAAAGCAGCAAACCCTAGGTTCGAAAGTGAAGTCGTATTGCTGACTGTACAGAGGTGTGACAGAAGTAAGGTGCTTCGTTCAGACAACCACCAGAATAGCGATGCTACATTTCCACAAAGGAATGGTGGGGTTATAAAAGGTCAACCCCAAAGCTTCACACCTCGCTTTATTCCACGAATATCCGTCTCCGGCGATAAGGACTCAACAAGTACGGAGCTAACACAAAAATTACTCACAAAAAGCTCGTTTGTGACCTACCTCAGGCAGTTGTCGCTTGGGCATCGCGTTCTCGCTCTCAGGTCACTAAGACTACCTTTAATCGAATTTCCTTTTCAGGTACCCCCAGAAGAACGTTTCCACGGTGTGGGCGACCGGGAACTGATAACTGCCCTCATACTTCTAACAGCACTAACTAACCCCTTTGAGTTTCTATTCGAATTTATCTGCCATGTGAAAATAATAATTTTGTTATCAGAAAGGGGTTTTATGGAGAATGTAGTAATTTAATTGTTGGATTCATGACTCTGTTAAAGGTAGACAACCATCAGAAACCTGGAAGCAATGGACAGTCATTTCGTTCCAGTATGTGACTTCTTATTAGTGCACATCCACGATACCGCCCGCGGGATTCAAACCCAGGGCCTTCAGTCTCACTGAACCGGCATCCAATAAAAGAAAAAGAAATCACTCAGTCATCATCGTTCATTTTTCACTAGATGAACAACTGATATTCGACAACTAGTAAACATTTCATTAAAATGCAGAAACTCATTCATAAAACATCATTTTCGCACTGTAAAATGCAGTTTGGTAATGAAAAGTATTATATCTAGAGCTCAGATTCTTAATACACCATGTGTGTAACTTGAGCAGTTGAATTCTAGAACCCTCCCAAGTCAGAAATAAGAAGATAAATAACAAGTGAAAGGAATGTTATTCCAAAACAGTGTCAATTATAGTACAAAACTGTCAGGTATTTATAGTCCTCTAATCCACATACAGGGGGTTGTTAGCATTTGTCCAATAGGGAAGCTTCATGTAAAGATTCTGGAATATTGTTCCGAAATATGATTGGGTGGAATATCTTCGACTGTTTTTGAGCTCCTTAGAGATTCCTGGAGTTCACCCGTAAACAAAAAAGGAAGGAGGAATTGCTTTTTTTTAAAAGTAACTTATGTAATATATATACCTTTTATGTATTATTTACTTGTCTAGTTTCTATCTAACCTTATCATCTCTATGTCTGATTGTTGAAAAATGTTTCATCTTTTCGTCTAGAACAATTAATCTAGGTGAACACAGTGAACATTTGAATAAACAATTTCATTATTTTGAATCGGTCAATATGATTTTGTTTTTTATATCACTTGAAGATGTTTATCGATTCACATATGTTCAAGGGAATAAAGTAAGTTAATATTGTTGTCTAAAGTGTCATTACTTGTTGAAGACTGTAAACTATTGGACACTCATCATCAGATTGAAATCATGATTTCTGTCTTGAAATCATTAGTCTGATATAGATAATTTAAATGTGTGGCGTGGAGTCGAGTCGCGATTGACTATGAACACCACTACAAGAAGACTACGTGCCAGTTAACCGGTAAAATCCCCCGTAAGCCAAATATCAGAAGACAGTTGATGGCTGTAGTCGATATGTATTTGTTGGCGATCTCGTGGTATCGAACGAATACCGAGATCGTGCCAAAGGAGTACAATCGTGGTTACCGAGCTTAACCGAACCCGTGCAAGGTCACAATTGAAAGATAATGGAGCAGTAATATGACTGTCTTTAGTACAGTTAAACAAACGAGCACAATAAAACAATCACTGGTACAATTGTTTATAATAATGATTGTTTCCATTAAATCAATCTCGTTCTCTTGATAAAAGTAGCTCACTACACATGTTATGATCTATACAATAATTCTGTATTTGATTACCACAAACTAGTAAGTAATACCGAAGATTTATAGTGGCTAGCACTTGAATCTAGTATGGGTGTTTCGTCCTATTTAGAACTCGTCAGTTGGATGTATCTGAATCTTCTCATTCAAGTAAACAACATCAAGTAAATTTAAACCTCATTTCAGCTCCGTCGGCCCGTAAAAAGTACGATATAATATCAATTCACTTGAATTCACTGTAAAATCTCAACTTGATCCAGAATACTAAGGAATAGTCAGACAACTTGAAACTGAGTACTATTTAGTGAACGATAAGAAGTTTTAAATGCAGACAGAAGAGAACAAGAAATTTGTAGTTTATTCATTAGTTATCGAAAGGGAGCCTACTTTATGAGTAAATATTGTAAAACTTATATGTCACTATGATTGAAAAAGTATGAATAATCTGTATTTGATAGTATGACTAATAAGAATCTTATTTAAAGGACTATCTGTTTGAATACCGTGTCAGTGGTCTAGAAGTTAAGCGTTCGTGCGCGAAACCTAAAGTCCTCGGTTCGAGTCCCACATACGGGATCGTAGATCCACACTGCTGAGGAGTTCCATACTAGGACAAAACGACCGTCCAATGCTTCCATGTTTTCCATGGTGGTCTAGCTCAGAAATTCAATGAATGAATGTTGATTTATTATAAAAAATCAGATTATACGAAATATTGTATGTATAAGGCAGTTTTCGATAAATTCGGTTTATAGAAAGAAAATAAGACATAGAGTTCAATATAGATGTTTACTGTATCAATTATGATGTCTCTTGCTTGGCATTGCAATGAAAACTCTGGTAAACATGTAGAAAATGAATAATCATGTATCACATTTCTGATTGGATGATTACCTATCCAGTTACTATGCTCAGAAAAGTTCCAGAACTTTCTAACAACCAAAGACCATCTAAAATGATATAAATACCCTTGATTTTCTGTACATAAACTAACTTCAGAGTTAAGCGTTCTTTCCATGTTTCATGCCTTTTCTTTCGTGTTCAAGTTGCCATGCAGATTTTGCCTAGGGATTACTAAAATAGCTTAGGTAACCGAATCAAATATCTAACCAAAAGATTTCTTATATACCCTGTTTAATTTTATTGATTTTTAAAAGCTTTTCTACTGTACATTATGGCGTAATATTTTCTAACATTTAAATGATGCAATTTATATTACTTACTTACTTACTTACACCAGTTAATCCTCGTGAAGGAGTATAGGCCGCTCACCAACATTCTCCATCCAACCCTGTCCTGGGCAATCCTTTCCAGCTCCTTCCAGTTCCTATTGATCCTTTTCATATCTGCTTCTATTTCTCGACGTAATATGTTGTAATTTATATTGATAAACAAATAGAATACCATAGATCATAAATACTTAATTATGTATTAAACTTTAATTTGATATACAGAATGATTTAACTTATAATTGAATTTATGGTTCGACTGAAACTAGACCATCATGAAAAAACCTGGAAGCACTAGACTGTTACTTCATTCTAGTATGGAACTCCTCAGCAATATCCATCCATGATCCCGTACATAGTGTGGTGTGTGCTACTTATATTGATATAAGTAGTATATTTCGCGAGTTAAAACGTAATATCTGGCAGCAGAAGATGAGGTGAAAATCAAGAAAGGAAGAGAGAGAGCACAATGGAATTTGTAAGAAAACGCATGTACAATGGAATGGGAGACAATGGATTAGTGTTTGCAACGGAAACAGTCCAGTTTGATATGATGCATTGATATTTTGCAAATTGACGATTGACTTTATGGTATTTAGATTTTATTGAGATAGTCTGTAGTTTTCGTGCTATATACATTCAGTTGTCCGCAATCGTGTTCTGTCCACTACAATAGGACTTGACCACGACACCTATCAGTTTAGGTTTTTCATAGTGTCAGCATAGGGGCTGCAGAGGTTGTTAAGTTATTGATTGAGACCATGAGCCGATTGGTGTTAGATTACCATTGAAAACCTGGAAGCACTGGTCGACCGTTTTGTCCTATTGTGGGACTTCTCAGCAGTGAGCATCCACGGTCCCGCACCACGCGAGATTCGAACCTAGGGTCTTCAGTCTCACGCGTGAACGCTTAACCTACTGGACCACTGAGCCGGTATCCAATGGTGTTAATGTCTAACCTCAACCAATCCACGAAATTGCGCGACCATCCTCCATTGTACTGAGGTAGATACCTGCTTCTACCTGACACGGATTAGCTCCATCGGTCACGGCTTCATAGTGGTCTAGCTTCAATTATTATTAAACTATTGTTTCTTTATTTATTCTATTAATCCATTATACTACTGATTTAATTTTAGTTTGTTAATCATCAAACATTTAAACTATTTGAAGATATTGTGAATTCACCAGATTTAACAAAGAAAGATATTTTGGTTTTCTTAAATAAATATGATATATTAAAATCAATAATTTCACAAATCAATAATGATACTAATCAAATTACTATCAATAAGGAAGATGATAAAACAGGTGAGATTTACTTTCTTTTTTTTCGAAATATAGAATAGTAACCATGGCATTAATGTAAAATGAGCATTTTTAAATCGATCAAACTTTTATGAAATAAACGATGATAATGACAATTCATGTGAGTGATCGACAATGAATGTTTCTTATAATCGTGAAATATGAATTCTTTGTGATGTAATTATTACTTACTTACTTACTTACGCCTGTTACTCCTCGTGAAGGAGAATAGGCCGCTCACTAGCATTCTACATCCAACTCTGTCCAAAACAATCTTTTCCAGCTCCTTCCAGTTGTTATTCATCCTTTTCATATCTGCTCCTGTTTCCCGATGTAATGTGTTCTTTGGTCTTCCTCTTCTCCGCTTCCATTCACGATTCCAAGTGATGGCTTGCCTCATGATGCAGTTTGATGATTTGCGTAATGTGTTATATCCATTTCCATTGTCTTTTCCTAATTTCCTCTTCAGCTGGAAGCTGGTTTGTTCTCTCCCACAGATGGCTGTTGTTGATGGTATCCGGCCAATAGATGTTGAGTATCTTGTGTAGACAACTATTTATAATTACTTGTACCTTCTTGATGATGTTTGTAGTAGTTCTCCAATTTCCAGTTCCGTATAGTAGAACCGTTTTGATTCTGACTTTTATATGATTGACAGTTGTTTTGAGTTCCATATGTTCTTCAATTATAGGAATGTGGTCCTTGCTTTGCCAGTCCTTAGACTGATAATGCTGATCATGTTAATTATTTCATAATTGATTGTAAACTAATCATTGATCTATTTAGAATATCAGTGGTATGTTTTATAATCAGTCGTTAGTTTGAAATAAGCAGCTAAAGATTTAAGTCCTCAAGTTCTTGCTCACTAGCTTAAAGTTGACATGTCTGCCGTGAAATTAACAAGTTAAGGAATCCACACTTTTGCATATTTGTAGGAAAAAAATTAGTATTCCCAGTTATGACAAGGAAATTGGTTTTTATGAAATCACAATTTTAACTTGTTTGTAGTGTGTACTACTGATATCGATAGATATAAGTAGTATACGTACAATCAACTGAAAGTGAAATACCTAGTAGCAGAAGGTTAACAAGATCAAAGAGAAGAGAACGAGAACAGAGAATGATTATTATGGAAATGAAGGGATAGTGAAGTTTGAGATGATTGATGTATATTTTGCAAATGAGGAATTTAATGTATGGTTCTCAGACTACTAAGATGTTCTGTCATTTTCTCTTGAAATACACCCAATTGTCTGGCAGTTGTATTCTCGTTCACTACAGATTTACTAGATAATATAATTTATAATGGAAATCCGACTGTATCCATTTCAAGTTGGTTGCTGTGTTTGTATTCATTTAGACAAGAAAAGAACAGTTCTTCTTTCATACTGTATGACGTTTAGTAGTTTGCCTATTTTATAACCATGTCGTTTCACTCGTTCAGTTGTAAATAAATTATGAATAACTGAATTTTAAGAAAAAAAAAGCAAAGCAATTACAATTTTATTTGTTTACTCTCTAGAGAGTAATAAATTATTTCGCAGTGTTTGTTACTATCTTCCTCTATGTGCATAAGTGTAAATATCCTCATATCCATGTATGTGTTCACGTTTACATGTTCACAGAAGTATGTAAAATAAAGGGGGGATGTAAATAATTGAAATCATTACTGATTTGTAAGTATACAGTGATATTCAACTCCTCCTCCTCCTCCTCCTCCTCCTCCTCCTACTACTACTACTACTACTACTACTACTACTACTACTACTACTACTACTACTACTACTACTACTACTACTACTACTACTACTACTACCACTACTACTACTACTACTACCACTACTACTACTACTACTACTACTACCACTACTACTACTACTACTACTACCACTACTACTACCACTACTACTACTACTACTACTACCACTACTACTACTACTACTACTACCACTACTACTACTACTACTACTACTACTACTACTACTACTACTACTACTACTACTACTACTACTGACACACATATAAAGTCTCATACTAGAACGAAATAACGGTTAAGATCTTTCTGGCTTTTAATGGTTTTTAAATATTACCAGTTAGTGAAATAACTTTTATATGGTGAAGATTTTTTTAGCTCAGCTGGATGATTTTGATGGAGATTTGTTCTCTTATCATAGATATATGTATTCACTAGAGTTTACAGGCCTGATCAATTTGATATAAATAGTGACATTAGATGTTTTAAATGTACTAGTTCAGTGATTGTTTAGGTAGTACATGTATTACAGCAATCCAATTCATCAGCCAGGAACTTTTAATTGTTCTTAAGTGGATATCCTGTTGAACGGTGTAATTAAAGTCATTTCATATGCCAGATCGAATTAATGATAATTATCTACAACTAGAGAAATTAAAACAAAAACAGAGAGCATGGAACAACAGAGCAATAATTACTAAAATATGTCAATCAGGTCTACCATAATGCATATGTCATATGACTCAGTGATATACTGTTCATGTTAGATATTATTCGAATTAGATAAGGTTGCTAGGGTCAGTGTTTATGTAAAGTAACAGCTGATAGATGGTTTACTTAGTAAATTCCGTTACAAGAATGACTAAACATTTAAAGTTCCTATGATCTTACTTTTGGAATAAGACACATTTTCAGGTGGCTAGAACATTAAATGCATTTTCAAATGAGCAGTATGCATGAATGCAGTGAATAAAGTATTGGAGTGATTTTATCTTACGGATGGATTGTGACAGATTATTCCAAAGTCTAGAAAATTTACAGGTAAAGTAATTCATATAGTGAGATGATTTAGAATAAGTTTGCTTCAATAATGACAAAGAGTTACGTATGTTATAATGAGAAGTTTCTGCATATTGAATCACGTGATTGGATGTAAAGAATAGTTTATGAAGTAGTTTGAAGAAAAAGATAAGATTTAATTTGAGTTTTTTCTTCCGTAAAGGGTCGAGCCCAAAGTTTATAACATCTATAATTATAAGTCATGGTACAATCTGTTTATCATTACATATGCTGCATTGAATTTCTGAATACTAACATACTGATTATTGCATTAAGGGTTGTTATATAATCTAACGATGACCTCTTCAATACACGCTGTTTTATATATTACACAAATACTACTACTACTACTACTAATACTACTACTAAAAATAATAATAATAATAATAATAGCGAGACTACAATTTATGGATGAACCAATCAGATATAAGACAACAGGTCTGGGATTTTGGCGCGAAATTTTACGCATCCATTTATTTATATAAAGTTTTGACATTAAAGTTAATGTCAGTTCGTAGTAAAACAAAACCATAAATCTAATTTCTAACCCTTAACTATCAACTATAAATCATAATTGGAATTCTTTACACTAATTTATAACCTTCATTTGATTCTAGTTACTAGGTGGTCACTCTCAAGATCACTTGAGCATTGCTTAAAGGTCACTCATCAATTATACTCTCATCATAATAATCAATAAAATAATATATTTCAATCAATGGGTAAAAAAAAACTTTCTTTCTTAGATTTTCCGATGTTTCGTCACTTAATTTAAACTACTTCTTCAGTTTAAATAATAATACAAAAGGAATAATACGTATTCTTTCTTCTTTTCTTTTTCTTTATAGATTGGAATATATTTATTCAAATGATTAAATCTTATTTAATAGAATTACATAATCATGCAAATATGAAAGGTTCCCATTTATATTTTCATATTATCTGTTCATTAGATATAGATAAAATGAAATGGATTATTAAAGATTCTATACGAACTATTTTAGAAATTAATCGTAAACGTCATTTAATATTTTAATATTCAATAACAAAAATTATTATTATTTCTATAAATAGATTCCTTTTTATAAATCAGAAAAAGGGGTTATATGTGAGATATTTGTATGAGATGATCTTCAACACTGTACATCCACGATTTCGTGCCACAAGATTCGAATTCAGGATCTGTCGGTCTTATATGAGAACGTTTAACCTTTAAACTATTGAGCCGGTATTCAACAGTGTGTAACGATATCTAACTTTAACTGATGCATGAAATTGAGTGATATATCCACCATTGTCTTCAGTGAGTCACTATCTCCACTGGTCACGGCTTCTCATTAGAACTCGAAGAAATACCTCTTGAAGTCAGTCGTTAGTAATCATATGTTGATTAATATCAGAAGTGGGGTTATTTGTCGATCTTATAGTAATGTCAATAGTTGAGATCATGAGTGAATTGAAGTTGGACCATCATGGAAAACTTGAAATTACTGGACGGCTGTTTCATCCTATTGTGGGACTCGTCGGCAGTGTGCATTCATGATCCCGCCTCGTGAGATTCGAACTCAAGGCCAATCAATTACTCCTCGTGGAGGAGTAACAGGCTTGAATAAAAAGTTCTATCATATGTTGGATAATTAATATGAATAATTTTCAACATGTACGGAATTAATTATATATATATATATATATATATATATATTGTCAGCTCAACTGGATTTTTGTTTTATTCAAATGATAAGTCTTCATGATTGAATGCTATATTCTAATTCCTAAGCTCTTCTAGTAACTCCTGGTCTAAATCAACACAACGATTTGAACATGAGTGAAATGGCGCGAAATATCGAAAAAACACTGTACCCCAATGTTTCGTTTATGTTCAGAAAATTGGGGGTATTTATAACATATTAGAGGATCTTGACCTTCCGGAAAATTCGGGGATGCTACTAAATATAGTAACAGTATAGGTAATCATCCGATCAGAAATGCGACATGTGACTTTTCACTTTCAATATGTATCTGATATAACTTCTATTGAATGCTAATTGGATAAAATATATCTCAGTGATGTTAGAGTTTCTTTTTGATTTTTTTGTCGAGGAATTCTCTGGATCTCCTCAACACAACGAAAGTTTAAGCCTAATTTGTAATTAGATCGCTTTTATAATACATATTTTACAGATATGAAGAAAATAATTGTTATTAGTCTATGGAAATATAATGAATCAGTTTGATTTCTGTGTTCCAGCTGACGAGTCCCGAATAGGACGAAACATGCGTGGTGGATTCTGCATGTTTATTCTGGGTTTCTTTCATCTCCTGACTCGTACTCTGACTTTCTATTTATTTACACTTTTTCTTATTGGTTGACAGATATAGTTGATTTCAATGTTTCTATTAATCAATGTTCAATTAGACTTCTAGTTTTGCAAAAATTCTCCGGAAACCTGCATTGACATGAGAAAAACTGTTTCATGTCGTGTTCATGTGTTCATGTAGACGTAGACTAAGCGGATGACCAGTCTGACTTACATAATATGTGTCGTAACTAGTGAAATGTATCGTGTAGATGACGTCTGCTTTGTATACGTCTAGCGTCATGCTCTTCGGCTTGTATACAATTATTTACAAACATTTCATTGGTTTATAGGATAAACCTGGTCTTAGTTATCCTCGGAGATGTTCGCGAAATTATCCATCCATCGAATGTCCCAGATGGTTTTGCGTTTGATGATCGGTTTGTTAAGTATTCTTTGATGAAAACTTGTAGACAGCAAATATTTTGAAAAACATAGACTAAGTATTTTCTGTCATTTCTGTGAACAATAGCGGTACTGTCGAAGTATTGAACAGCGAAAACACAGATAACCAACACTGTCCCCACGAATGGTTTTCAACACTTCATGAATTCCATAACAGTTTCCGTCCATATTTCATCAAAAATGTTGGAGTTTTGTTCACTGAGCTCGATAGTTTAGTCGTAGAGATTTTATCGTTCTCCTTCTCAACGACATCATCAGCACAATTGTCAGGTAGAAGTGAAGTGTTCGAATTTCTTCACATATGGTTTACAGATTGTCATATACAACTCCACGTTGATTTGTTCCTGTTAACATTATACCTGTCATTGTTTACCTCTTCCTTTTGGTTGTATCTCCCATCGGTTTGATTTCTCTTCCTATGTTTGTTCATAATCTTACTGATTGATTGATAAATTGGATCGATTTCAATGTGATCATCGATTGTTGATTGAACTGAGTGCCAACATTTTAAAAATTCTCTGGTGTTTTCCGAATTGCCTCTATCTACAACTTCCACATTTTTCCAGTCAATTGTCTGTCCCCAGTTGTCCATGTGCATTGATATAAGTGAGGACATGTCATGGGGTTCACTGCTAATTGATGTTCATGCAGGCGAAAATGAAGAGGGCGTCCACTTTGTTCGATGTAGTGTTGTTCACAACTGGCACAATTTATTTATCATTTGATCCTTTGATTTGCATAGGATTGATTGTGGTGATTTTGTTGGTTTATGTGCAACACGCATTCCGAAGGGTTTCAGTAGTCTCGTTGTCGTTTTTGATACGCTTCTTATGTATGGTTGGGTGATCGTTCTATTAATTTCTCTACTTCACTTCGTTTCTGATGATGCGTAAGGATGGTATATTTCAATGAATTTGATTGAGTACTGTTTCTTTTGAATGATGGTCATCAGGTATTTTTCTTCATTTTTTCGTTCTGCAAGTGTGTTGCAGTGTGTCCTCACCTCCTTGAACAAAGTATGTACGCAATTGATTTTGTGATCTCTTGAATTGTTCAGATCAACAATAACCAATCAACATTGAGGTTTACAGGACGAGCTGTAAACTACATACGGATATATTCGAATAGTTCAGACTTCTATCTGAAGTTTGTGTTTATGAAATCGTTTAGAAGAACGATGAAATCTCCACGACCAAACCATTTAACTCAGAGAGAAAAACTCCATCAAAATCATTTACTTGAGCTACAAATCTTCCCTGCCATCTCATCAGAAATTTCAGCAGCTAAGTTTATGTCTCTTTCGAACAGATAATGGATACCTGACAAATGCTGATCAGTAATTGAAGAAAAAGTGAGTCAGTCAGCAGCAACGTAGAACCTTGTACGTACGTACATCAGTTCAAGTTGCCATACCACATTACCACACAGATACAATTGTTGATACAATTCCCATGGTGGTAGAGATAGTAAGAGCATAAGCAGTAATTGGAAATATTAGGGTTTGAAGATGGCATTCAAGGAGTATAATCTAGTGAAATAAATTTGGAAAGAGGAAAAAAAGGATATGAAGAATTCAGAAGATTAGAATTTCGGAAAACTCAAAGAGTGGTTACACCTGCGCCATTGCAAACTGTTTTGGGCCATGTCATTTAAGGTCTCTAACCATCAGTTGCTGTCATCTCGCAGATCCCCGAAACCAGGTGGTCGACACCTACCAACATGAATCAGTCCACATGTCAGTGACTTCATGGATTTGTGCCATGTTCTGGTCTGGTCGCTCTTAGCTTTCTTCCAACCTACTCCTACACCATAAAACATCGCTCGTCGGGGCAGTCGGTGGTTGGTTATACGTAACACATGTCCCAGCCATCTCAACTGTTGAAGTTTCACTACTTTATCAATTGATTTGCCATCCTTACCTAGTACCCGTTTTCTAACAACTGCATTACCCACTCGTTGATCAATGCGTCAAAGATACCTGTGATTGAATACTAGTAACCTACGAATATTCTCTACTCTTACCGGCCATGTTTCACTGACATTAAGTAGAATGGAACAAAGAAAATATGAGAATAAATATAATACCATTATTGACTATTCATTGTTTATTTATTTGTATTTTCTTTTAAACATTAAGTACATATGAATGAAACAAAAATGTGGTTTTCAAGTTAACCAAGAAATTCATTTGTCGGTAACATTGATTGTCGATAAAGATCATAATAATAATTGACTGATTTCTGTGGACGTTTAACTAAAACGAATATTATATACATAGAAACAAATGATTATTGATACAATTGAATTAGTCAATAATTATAATGTAAAACAATAAAAAAAAATCATTTCATGATATAGACTGTAAAAGCTATATGTTATGAAATGGATCCAAGTAATGATGGAGAAGATTTGTAACTTAGATGAATGATTTTGATGGAGTTTTGTTCTTTGTCTGTAAAGTGTTCTATCTGACGTTTGTGCTGCTGATGATGTCGTTCAGAAGAACGATGAAAGCTTCATGACCAAATCACTCATTTCAAAGAACAAAACTACATCAAAAATGGATTCAAGTAAAGAATTCTGTATAATTGTAAGAACATTTTTATGTTCGTCTAGTTCATTCAAAGAATTCAATTAATGATATTCAGATGAATATGTCTTCCGATACAAATTAAGATCTAAGGATTGAAAACTGATATATCGAAAGATGGTAGTTACTAATTTTTACGTAGTTGAAATGAGTTATTCTACATTAGATCATAGTAGGTTGAAGAATGTTCATTAGTTCATTTGGTAGCGTTTACTTGTATCTTTCCATTGTTGATTAGAACTACAATAGATGAGGATTTATTGGTATATGTGCATCCTGTGCGTATTGCACCGATATTGTCTTAATTCATAGGCATTATAAACAAAGATGGGAGACAATATTGAGGCAATACTCACAGTATGCACATATGTGAGTAAGAGACTCATCAATTTCAATCCTAAACAACAGTGGGAAGATTCAAGTAAGCAATTCCAAGTGAATTTAAACTTCACCCCATTGCACAAGCTAGTGACTATCAAGACTCAGTACTTAATTGGATAACGTAATAGCGCTAGAAGCGAACGGTACTAGGTTTAAGTCTCAGAGTGAACATCAACTCTGAGATGCAAGTACATCCAGCTGACGAGTTCCAAATAGGAAAAAAGGTGAGTCAAACTGGATCCCACTGCTAGCCACTATCCATTTTTGCTTATCATATTTTTTAGTGATACATTCATACTATCAGAAAGGGTTTTGTTTAGATTGTAGTAATTTCAACAGTTGAGATCATGAGTAAATGAACGCTAGACCACCATGGAAAACCTGGAAATACTGAACGGCCGTTTCGTCCTATTGTGGGACTCCTCAACAGTGCGCATCCACGACCCCACCTCGTGGGATTCGAACCCAGGACTGTGAGTAGTTAAAAACCTTTTAAATGCAATGCTTGGACTGCATTTGTAAGTTTAAATTTCTAGTTACAGATTACTGGCAATAGAATTACAGTATAACTTAAAGAAGAAATGAAATGAAGTCAGACAGCTGAATTTTCTAATAAACAAAGAAATGTACAGAATGTACCTAATAAAAATATTTCATTTTCAGTCAACTATAAAATCCGATACTGAATTTAATTATGAAAGTAAATGAAGGTGTCATATTATAGTAATAATAAACACTAGTTTCTAAAGTATTTTGTATGTAATGTAACTGTTGATGAAGTGGTCGGTGAAAAATGGTTACCCGTCAGTTATGATGTGACTTTTCCTTAACTTTTTTTCCGATGGGATCAATAATTAGGAGCTGTACTCCACTTTTCAATTAAATAATTGTCAAGCTTAGCTGCTCTTATTTTACTTGAGTATATGTCCAATTAAACTATTCCATTTTCACTAATTTCCTCATTGCAAGGTTGATGGTTCATATATATAGGTTACCAACTAACTACTTATAATATATTTTAGTAGTTAAATAAATTTTTATCAAAATTACCTGATATTGGTAATCTATCCTTTTTAAATCTATGTTCATGTACGCGTTTAAACCATAATTCTCCACTGGGAATGTCTCTCGTGTAATCTGAATTAGTTGAATCCATTAGGGGTTCATCTAGTGTTTTAAAACAATACATAAGTAAGAAGAAAGGTACTTTGTAAAAAAAATAAGCAGATCACTACATTTTAGCTCAGTATTTGTCAGATTCATTCTTATGTTATATTGGTAGTTCTAATTTGACCAAATGAAACTACATGTTAAATGCTTATTCTATTATTTCTTTTAAAATATTTTTTCTGAAATCTGGAGTATTTCGTCCTGGAATCCCTCTAGGGTAACTGCCGGTCCCAAGTCCTGAAAAAGGAGGAGGGTTGGGCATGGGGTTAGCGGCGCTATTCTGTAGAAAACTAACTCGCTAAAAATCGGTAACCAATTAAGTAATGCACCTTCAATTTCATGATGGTTAGCTTATCAAAACGACAGAATTGTTCTAACACTTTGAAAAGTTAAATTATCTGTTCGTCAAGTACAATTTCACAGGAATTAATGAACAAAGTACAATTTATTTATTTTAAGTGTTTTATACCGGAAAAAACATGCATTATTACATCACAAATATTACTCGAACGTATTAACTTCTTCCACTGAATGTATTCAATATTAATAATCAATTGGTGTTATAACAATAATGTAATGGCCCTCAAATGCCCTGGTACGGTCGAAAGTGGGAAGAGTTACCTCACCCTCTCGAAGTGCTCTCACATGGCCACGAGCATACAGCCACTGACAGGGAAGTCCTATTCACTGCTTTCCCACGATGAGAGTGTTGTTTACGAAGATCGAATGTCCGACGCTTTAACCAAAGTGGTGGATATAGAGGATCCACCTAGGGGAGTTGGAAAACCCAGATTCAAAACCAGTGGTGCACATGGACTCCAGGATCCTGACGAAACAAATGGCTTATGAACCCATAGTTGGTCACCGGCTTCCAAGGGATTACATCTTCTGACGTCGCTCCACTGTCTTGTGGATTAGACCTTTAGGTCGAAGGCTCTGACTGTGGCCTCCTAATAGAAATACCTGCTTCAGTTTGGATACCCGGACAGCATCTTAGCACTCACACAAATCGAATGATTTATGTGGCACATGAGTATTTGGTTCCCACCTTGTTTCAATGTTTATGTGTTAAATTAATAAAATGAAAATAAACCAGTAACGATCTCTTTGAATAAATTTATCATATAAGAAATCATTTCCAGATCCATCGGTCAGTTAACTTTATCAGCTGACTGAAAACAATCGATAAGAATCCCTTCTATTCTGTTTAGGTTATGTGCTTACTAACATTTGTCAGTAAAACATGTATACAATTTTAACTAGACAACAATAAAATGGTTGTTAATCATTCGTGTTTTAGTGTAAATATCTAAGTCCCACACAAAGTAAATCACTATCCAACTATTTCAGGTTTCACTAACTGACATTTAGTCAACTTGAATTAATATACTACGAATCAACAATAACAGTATCTACTATTTAATAAATGGAACAAAGCATATAGGAAAATAGTGTTTTCAATCAGATCCTCACCAGAATTTACCCAAATATAGTGTGATACGTATGTGGATATATGAAAATGTTAAAGCAATCAAGGCAGTTCGTGAGTCAGTGATAACGACCAAATAGATCATTTCTTTAATAATAGGACCAGTGTAGCAGCAGCCTTAGCAACAGTAGGTCCTAACATACACAAAGGGAAAAGCAAGATTCTTCGATACAACACACCATGTACCAGTCGAATCATAGTTGACGGAAAAGCTTTAGAGGATGTGAAAACAATTACATATCTGGGCAGCATCATTGATGAACACGGTTGGTCTGATGCAGATGTGAAGGCGCGGATAGGCAAGGTAAGAACAACATATCTACAACTGAAAAACATCTGGAAATCAAAACAACTCCATACAGTTCTGCTGCATGGAGCAGAAACCTGGAGAACTACGAAAGTCATCATGTACAAGATACAATTATTTATTAACAGTTGTCTACGCAAAATACTTCGGATCCGTTTGTTAGACATTATCAGCAAATAGAGAGGCCCAGGACGGAGTGGGTTGGAGAATGGTGGTCAGCAGCTTACGCTCCACTTGGGAGTAACAGGTGAAAGTAGGTAAGTTATAATAGGAAGTAGGTCAATAACTTGGAAAATTAGACACCGAAATAACATTAATTAAAGATTACTAAAATTACGTCATAAGTGTTTAGATAACTTGCTAATACTGATTCGGTCAAAGAAGGGATAAGCGTGTTACAAATTTCTAGTAAATACTAAGACCTGGCTTGTCAGCTGGAATCGCTATAGTGCTTACCATATATAAAAGACGAGATCGAAGCTGATAAAGAGAAGTAGTGGGTATATAATAGGTTACTCTAAATAGTTATTACAGGATCACTGTCGGATAAACATGATGGAACGGACGCAGGTATTGTTCTATTTAAACTCTTACATTACCCTCAGGTGAGGTGTTCAGCACCTCGTTGACTCGGTTGTCTAAGTGTATTACCAAAATAACTTTCTCTACAGGAGCAGCTGAGTTAATAGATAAACATGGGTGTGGGATAACCAGATTCAAAATTCAGGAAGAGAGGTATCTTAACAACCGGTGATGTCACTATATTTTTGTCCACTGCACGCATATAGTTCTTCAAAAAACCTTGTACATAACTCATGTCATTAGAAATATTATTAATAAAAACTCCGCCTGTAGCCCTTCTAGGGTCACTGCCAATCCAAATCTCAGTCGAAGGATAAGGGTTGAGCATAGGGTGACCAACCTTATCGTGTTAAAAAACGCTGACCGGAAAAAGTCATTTAAACTCTCCTTAGGGAGTTGAAGAATCTTTATTTAGAAGAATTATGACGGCTTATAGTAAAAGCTGAGATTCTTCGAAAGTCACATAGCCGATGTCCCTTCTAACAATCAGAGTAACAATTAATATAAAACACATATTTCAGAAATGATTAAATTGCATAATGAAGTGATTCATAACTTTGAATTCTGAAGGAAAATGGAGAAGAGGAGAACGAAGAAACACACTGCATTGAGAACTGGATGAATAGAAACTGGATAGGAATGTCCAGGATAAAGTTTGATAGCGAATCTTGGTAAGTGGCTTACGTTGCACTAGAGATAATAAGCTCAGGTAAGTAAATAATTATGAATAAAGTCTAGTTCCATGTTTATACTGTCATCTAAACATATTCTTCTGTCCTTATTTTCAAGACATCTTAATAGATTTCTCTTGTAACGAATGTGTAGAAAGGTAAAGAGGTGTGTGTATTGACATTTCATAGAACGCTTTTTGTTATTGATTGAATCATCTCCTTTTCTATTTAAAAAAAAATTGTCGACGAGATGTAATTCATTCACTATTCCATCAATTTGTCGATCGTATAAATATACATTCATTGTACGAAATGCGCGTTCTGGATTCCACTGCTAGCCATCATCCATCGTTGCTTACAAAATGCTTGTAAATTAAGGCGATATCGAGACAACATGCACAGTATGCACGTATGCCAATAAGTGACTGATCAATTGCAGTACTAAACATCAATGGGAAGATTCAAGTGAAACAATACCATGTGAATCATTTATTGTACTGTTTCAAAGTAAGATAGTGAGAAGATTTATAGCTTAGATGGATGATTTTGATGGAGTTTTATTCTCTGAGCTAGATGGTTTGATCGTAATGAACGATGTAAGCTTGACGACCAAACCATCCAGCTCAGGGAACAAAACTCCATCGAAGTAATTCTTTGATACCAAAATAAAAATACAGGACTCATCAAATATAACTCACCATATTCATGTATCATTCGATTACAATTGATCAATACAATAGAAATTACAATAATTACAAATGATGTTAGATAGAATTTTATGCAATTCATATTCTTTAATCTATTTGTAATTCTAATAATAGAAAAAAGAACAAACAAAATGAAAATACATTATGTATGTATATGTTAAAAGTGTTGGCCCAATGGTTAAGCGTTCGTGCGCGAGAGACCGAAGGTTCTGGGTTCGAATCACGCGGGCGGGGGTTGTGGATGTGCATTGTTGGGGAGTCCGACAATAGGGCGAAACAATCGTCCATTACTTCCCGACTTTCAATGGTGATCTAATATCATTATCGATTCATGATGTCAACATAGAATTGTCAGAGTTTGAGAAACAATTTATGTGCAAAAGGATATGATGACCAAAGGAATTAAGTAGTATAAAGTTAACTAGACAAATTATTCTAAGAAATTCATTTATCCTCTTTATTCATATGTGTAAAAATAATCCAATTGAATATCTGGATAGGTTATTTCAAAGATATTAATAAATGAATTTAGAAAACTCCCCTCCCTCATTGCACAAGCATGACTCAGTAGCTAAGTGGTGATAGTGTTTGAAGTGAACAGTATTGGGTTCGTGTCCTGGAGTAGATATTAACTGTCTGATACAGGTACATCTAGCTAGCAAGTTCTAAATAGGACGAACGAAGCATCAAACTGGATCCCATTGCTAGCCATTACCCATCATTGTTTATTAATTAGTTATTTTCTATACAGAAATATCATAAGTATGATCAATTGGTTAAAGTAGCTAAATGAATATAGTAAAATAGAGGATGCTTATGAGTTACAAGAGATTCATTCCACTTAATGTTTTGATCATTGAAACTTGTTAACAGAATATCAACTTGAATATTTTTATAGTAGTATAGTATAGTATGAAATTATTTGTTAAAAGTTTTAAAGTAGAGTCTCTGATTGTTGAGGGTCCAGATATACAATTAAGTGATTTAGTTGTAGTTCCTGGAATTAGACACTATCTTGATGACCAACTTAATCCAAAAAAAACGGAAACTTTTGAACAAATGAAGTCAGATATTAGAGTAAATGAAAAGGGGACAGACATGTATAAAAATATCTCAAATAACCTGGGTTCGAATCTCACAAGGCGGGATTGTGGATTTGCACTGCTGAGGAGTCTCATAGTTGGAAGAAACGGCCATTCAGTGCTTTCACGTTTCCTATGGTAGTCTAGCTTCAACTGACTCATGAATTCAACGATTAAAAGTATTAAAATATCCACAATAAACCCCTTCTGATATTCATTTGTAAAATCTCTAATTCATAATAATAAAATGCTTATTGGTAACATGAACCAGAATAAGAACTTGTGGTATCATTCATCCATTTGTTTAAATGTGCCTTTTAGTTGCCTGAAAACAGTACCGGTTAATTATGTATTCACGAATGTTTGTAGACCTCGTAGACTGTTAGTCTGAAAACATTAAGTATTATCTACGTGTATATGAAATGGTTAAGCTTGACTAGACTTTAATAGTTCCAAATTCATTGGAATATTACCAATACGAGAAAGTCTTTAAAATAAGATTGAGAAACTCTAATCGATTTCATTTAATTGTAGATATTTAAGTGATTTGAAATAAACAGAGGTTGATATCTTGATGGAGTTTTGTTCTCTGAGTTCGATGCTTTGGTCGTGGAGATCTCACCGTTCTTCTGAACGAAATCATCAACACAAACTTCAGGTAGAAGTCTGAAGTGTTCAAATCTATCCATATGTAGTTTACAGCTTGTCCTGTAGACCACGATGTTGATTGGTTATTGTTGATCTTAAACAACTCAACAACTCACAAAATCAACTGAGTACAAACTTTGTTCAAGGAGGTGAGGACAAACTGCAACACACTTGCAGAACGAAAAACTGAAGAAAGATACTTGAAGACCATCCTACAAAAGAAACACTACTCAATCAAATTCATTGAGATATACCAGCCATACACATCATCAGAAACAAAGTGAAGTAGAGAAATCAACAGAGGTGTCACCCAAACATATTTAAAAGGCATATCAAAAACCACAACGAGATACTGAAACCCTTCGGAATACGTGTTGCACATAAACCAACAAAATCACTACAGTCAATTCTATGCAGACCAAAGGATGAAATAACAAAGGAAAATAAGTCAAACATCATCTTCAAAACAAATTGTGCCCTCTTCATTTTGGCCTGTATGAACATCAATTAGCAGTGAAACGCCATGACATGTCTTCACTTATATCAATACACGTGGACAACTGCGGACACACAATCGACTGGAAAATTGTGTAAATTGTAGATAGAGGCGATTCGAAAAACAGCAGAGAATTTTTAGAAGCTTGGCACTCAGGTCAATCAACAATCGATGATCACATTGAAATCGGTTGAATTTATCAACCGATCAGGAAGATTATGGATAAACATAGGACGAAAAATCAAACCGATGGGAGATACAACCAAAACGAAGAAGTAAACAATGACAGGTATAATGTTAACAAGAACCAATCAACATGGAGTTGTACAGGACAAGTTGTGAACCATATGTGAAGAAATTCGAACACTTCACTTCTACCTGACATTTATGCTGATGATGTCGTTGAGAAGGAGAACGATGAAATCTCTACGACCAAACTATTCAACTCAGAGAAGTAAACTCCATCAAAATCATCCACTTGATCTACAAATCTTCTTCACTTTCTCTGAGGTTGATATCATTCTATTTTATCTTTCTGATTTGATAGTTAGAGATTATTTTCAACAGTAAAAGGAAAAGTTTTGTAATGATTGTAGTAATTTTAATAGTTGAATTCATGAGTCAATTAAAGCAAGACCACATTGGATGGTTGTTTCATCTTATTATGGAACTTTTCATCAATGTATATCCACGATGGGCTTCAAACATAAAAATAACTATCATTATTCAATCGATCATATCTGATGTTTATCCTGGTGATATCATTCAGGAAACCGATGAAAACTCCACAACTAACCGACCATCCAATTGAGAGAACAGAACTTCATCATAATCAACTTTGAATTCTTAGTTCTAGTTATGAGATTTATTAGGAATATCTTGCTTATTCTTGGAACATCATTAATATTAGTATATCTATATACCAAAATTATTGTCTACATTCATAGTCGGTTATGTCGGCAATATTCATTAAAAAAAGTCAATGTTTATTATTATGTCATAGATTTTCTGCACCATTTCATCATTAGTAATTCAATCAACCACAACCAATTGTATTCAGTAGTATATATATACACATATATAAGGATAAGTAGTATACGTATCCATCTGTCGGTTTTTTCAATCATAAATAATTAATTACTACTTTAAAGTTTAACTACTTAATTCTTAATAAGAAAGAAAGAAGAAAGAAAGAAAGAACAAAAGAAATGGATAAGACATTGAAAGAACAGTTTTTTTTTCTTTCTTTTCTGTAACAATATCATTCATTGAAGCCAGTATGATTTTTACATTTACTTATGTCTGTTAGTTCTCATGAAGGGGTATAGGCTGTCAACCAGTACTCTCCATCCAACCCTGTCCTGGGTAATCCTTTCCAGCTCTTTCCAGCTGTTATTCATTTTTTTCATATCTGCTTCCAATTGCTGATGTAATGTGTTCGTTGAGCTTCCTCTTTTCCGCTTCACTTCAGGATTCTAAGTTAGAGCTTGTCTCGTGATGTCGTTTACTGATTTCCGTAATGTATATCTTATCCATTTCCATCGTTATTTTCTTAATTTCCTCCTCAGCTGGAAGGTGATTTGTTCTCACCTACAGTAGGCTGTTGCTTTTTTCCGTAACAATATCATTCATTAAGGCTATACAATCCTATTTTTTTTTATCAGAAGGGTATTTTTGAAGATTTTAGTAATTTTAATAGTGGAATTCATGAGTTAATTGAAGTTAGACCATCACTGAATCTTCACAAAACCCTCTTTTGATAATAATCATCATCATGTGCTCACTAGTGACTGACTTCATGAGGTATTTCTTCGAGTTCTAGTGAGAAACAGTGCAGTTCAACCGGGTTTGTTGTGAGTTAGTAACACATTGAAAGACAATGGTGAATGTGTCGCTCAATTTCGTGCATTAGTTGAAGTTAGACATCAATACGGTTGTTTGTTGGTTGGTTTGTGTGTATGCATGCAGGGTCAGGGATGAAAAATGTTACCTTTGTGCTGAGAAAGGATAGAGTTTAATTTATATGTAAGATAGTAATGTGTAATGTGTATCATCTATATATCTGAACCAAATTCGTAGTTTAATGTCATTGGTGTAAATGTTAGATTCTATGTATGCCATAAACAGGTTGGCTACAATAGGAGACACACAGAATCACATTGTTACCTTGTTAGTTTTTTGTATAATGTCCCATTAAAAGTAAATAGTATCGAATTTAAGCAAAGTTACCTCATATATATATAAATTAATCCTTTCAGAAGTCTCAATTAAAACCTGGAAGCACTGGAAGGCCGTTTTGTCCTAGCATGGGTCTCGTCAACAGTGCACATAAACGATCCGGCACACAGCATTGCAACCCAGGATCTTTGGTCTCACGCGCGAATTCTTAATGTCTACACCACTGGATCGGCATTCGACAGTGTTAATGTCAAACTCCAACCAACCCACGTTATTGTGTGACCGTCCACCATTGTCTTCTGTGAGTAACTGCTTCCCAACAGACACGGTAAGACTTCACTGGTCACGCCATTAAAAAGACTAATAAAATATCGAAAGTTTAAAAAAGGTGAGACTATAATTTATCGACGAAGTTAGAGAGTGTCCAGCTAATAACTAAAACTCAATGAGGGTTATAAACTAGTATGGAGAATTAAAATTATGATCTACACTTGATGGTCAAGATTAGGAATTTAGATTTAGGGTTTTCATCACGAACTGACATCAGTTATGATGTCAAGACTCTATTTAACCAAATGAATGAGTGAATTTCGCGCCAAAATCTGAGACCTATTATCTCTTATATGATTGATTCGTCCATAAATTACAGTCTCACCAAATTAATTAATAAGACGACGA